CCCCCAGCCAGCGCCCCCAGCCAGCGCTGCCCCCAGCCAGTGCCCCCAGTCAGGGCTGCCCTGCCAGCGCCCCCAGCCAGCGCCGCCCCCAGCCAGCAGTGCGGAATCATGCTGCTGAGGAGGAAGCGGAGCCTGGACGTGTGCACACCAGGGCGGCGCCGGCTTCCTGGGAGACCCCTGGGAGACCCCTGGGAGCAGATGGCAAAGCAGACTCTGGCCCAGCGGCCTGGGGTGCCTCTTCCGCAGCCCCCGGGTAGCGGTGCTTTTGCCCACTTCGGGGGTGAGGCCTTCGAGGATGAAGGGTCTGGCAGGCTGCGCGCTGGCTGCTGGGAGGCCCCCAAGATGGCCAGCTCAAGGGGTTCACCTGCCACAGAGGAGCTGGAGGTGCCAGGCAGCTGTCTCAGGCCCCCCAGACACGCAGAGAACTTGTGTGCGTGTGGTAGGGGGTGCGGGGCTGCTCTCCCTCTTAGGTTGGAGCTGCAGGACGGAGCTGGGGTTGCTGTGGGGTGACGGGACTCACCCCAACACCCACAGGCTGCTACGGAGACATCAGGCTTTGAGAAGCTTTAGGACTGAGCAACTGGCAAATAGAGGCGAGTCCACCCACCGGCCAGGAAAGGGGGTGTGATGTGGCTCTTGGCCGCCACAGTTTAAAGCAAGTGAGTTTACTGGCCAGCGTGGGTCAGTGGACGTGGCTGGAGTCCACGGCGAGTCTCAGGGCAGCTGGTCGGCGCCGTGGAAGAGCCCTGTGTCTGTCCCCTGCCCAGCCGGCCCCGGAGCTCGGCCGGGGTCGGGCTCAACCTCGGGGCTCCCCCGTGTCTGTCAGAGGCAAGTCTCGGGGCGCAGTTCAGAGCAGATCCCCCTTTGTGCTCCCGACCAGGTCTCCCTGGGGGCACCGGTGGGGGCGAGGGAGGGGTGGGCCGGGCACCCCCTGCTGTGGTGGGCTGGAGACGCCACCAGAGACCGGGTGGCCCCGGAGCCTGTGACGTCCGCAAGGTGGGGGCGGAAACGGGACATGGGCCCGGACTGGCCCACCGATGCCAAGTGCCGGCGCGGGGTTCTAAGAGCACGGCAGAGGCAGACCGGGCATGGGAGAGGGGGTGCCCCAGAGGCAGAGGCAGGAGTGGTGTGGCCGGTGAGGGTCAGGCGCCCGGGCGGCAGGGCCAGCGGCAGGCCGACACGCCCTGGCTCTCTGGGGCCCGGAACTGGTGCAGTGAGCGGGGCTGGGGCTCTCAGCCGCCCGGCCAGGGCTCCGTTACCACCACTGGGGAACCAGCACCCCCCTTCGCCCAGGTGCTGGGAGACACCCTCCTCCCCAGCACCTTCGTGCTGAAAGGGCATTGGCTGGCCTGTCTGCGGGGGCTGTGGAAACACAGGCATAGGCAATGTTTAGGGGGCGCGCAGGGGGCTGAGCCCCGGGGAATGACCTCTGGGCCTGGCTCGGCGTCCTCCGGCCCTGCCCCTTCCCCACCTCCGGCCAGGCTGTGCCAGCCTGTCGATACCCTCCTCTCTACCGCCTCTCCCGCCCACCAGCCCAGCAGCAGCCACGGGCACCGGCCATCTCCAGAGACACCCCTGCATCTCCCACGAGCAGCCCCTGGGCCTCCCGCCGTCCAGGGGTCCAGTGCCTGTGAGGATGGGCCTGTCGCAGCCCTGTGCCC